CAATGAAGAGATATTGGGCTACCGTTCCTTCACCGGGTAGTTCAAATAATAATGCTTCAAATATTGCATCTCAATGTTCTTCATCAATACCTAAACAAGTTGATTTGGATGAGCTTCCCTCAGATCCCGCAAAAAGAAGGAAAATTTCTGAGTACCATCCTAATCAAATAGATGAAATCAGGAGAAAATATTTGATTAAAGGACCTTGTCAACCACGTGGTCATGACTTCCCACAAAAAGAGATTGGGAAGACTTTAAGACGCTTTAACTCTAAATGGTTTGATCAATATCCTAATTGGTTAGAATATAGTATACAAGATGACAAAGCCTTTTGTTTGCCTTGTTACTTGTTTAGAGATCACTTTGAGAATCGTGCTGGGAATGATGCATTTGTAACTGAAGGGTTCTCAAGTTGGAATAAAACGGAACGATTAGCTTCTCATGTGGGTAACATAAATAGTTTCCACAATAAGGCACTTAAAAAATGTGATGATTTAATGAACCAAGACCAGTCAATTGTTGTTGCTTTGCATAAACAGGGTGAAATTGTGAAGAATGAATATCGTATTCGTTTGAATGCTTCTATTGATGTTTCAAGATTTTTATTGCGTCAAGGACTGCCTTATCGTGGTCATGATGAATCTGAAGAGTCTAACAATAGAGGCAATTTTCTGGAACTAGTAAAGTATACTGCTAGTCAAAATGATGCTGTGAGTAAGGTTGTATTGAAAAATGCTCCAGGAAATAATCAAGTAGTTGCTCCTAGCATTCAAAAAGACATTGCTAATTGTTTTGCACAGGATATTGTTCACTCTGTGCTTAAGGAGATAGGTGATGATGTGTTTAGTTTGTTGGTTGATGAGTCTAGTGATGTGTTTTACAAGGAGCAATTGGCTATGGTGTTGAGGTACGTTGATCGGTGTGGCATAGTTAAAGAAAGATTTATTGGTGTTGTTCATGTGAAAGATACATCTTCTTTGTCTCTTAAATCTGCTATTGATTCTGTATTTTCTGAATATGGCTTGAGTTTGAAAAATGTTAGAGGCCAAGGGTACGATGGTGCAAGCAATATGCAAGGTGAGTTCAATGGATTGAGAGCTTTAATCATGAAAGAAAGTAGCTCAGCCTACTATATCCATTGTTTTGCTCATCAACTACAATTAGTTGTTGTGGCGGTTTCAAAGAAACACTTTGATGTTGGTGATTTTTTTGAAATGACATCTCTTTTATTAAATGTGGTTGGAGCGTCTTGCAAAAGAAGAGATATGATTCGAGAAAGTCATCAAGAAAAAGTGAAAGAAGCTATAAGTAATGGTGAAATTAGCACCGGGACAGGATTAAATCAGGAGCTTGCCCTTCAAAGACCGGGAAATACACGTTGGGGTTCCCATTATAGAACACTTCTCAATTTGATTGAACTGTTTCCATCAGTTGTTCAAGTCCTTGAGCACATTGAAGTGGAGGGCGTAGACAGTGTCAAAAGACGCCAGGCTAATGGTCTTCTAACATATTTTCAATCATTTAAATTTGTGTTTTATTTGCAGTTGATGTTGCTTATCTTGGGACTCACAATTTCTTTGTCAGTGGCTCTTCAAAAGAAAGATCAAGACATATTGAATGTTGTTTCACTTGTGAAAACAACAAAGCAACAATTGCTTAAGGTAAGAGCTGATGGATGGGATTCTCATTTGAGGAAGATCTTAGAATTTTGTGAGAAGCATGAAATTTCAATGCTTAATATGGATGAGGACTTTGTTAACCCAAAGAGGCCACGTCAAAGAACTAATATCACTAATCGGCATCATTATGAGTATGAATGTTTTAATACCATAATGGATTTGCAAATTAATGAATTTGATGACCGTTTCAATGAGGTAAATTCCGAGCTACTTCTTTGCATATCTTCTTTGAGTCCGATTGATTCCTTCCGTGAGTTTGATGCTTCAATATTGTTGAGATTCTGCCCCCAATAACTTCTAATCCTGGATCCGCCACTGCGTGTTACCACATGTCATTTTTCCTACCAATGAAGTTGACACATGTCAACATTTCCTCCAGTTGGTATGCCGGGGGAGCAGCCCACAGTGAGCATGCTGCTCCCAGAGAAAAAGAAGGTGTGTTACTGTTCACGCGCGTGAACAGTAACTTCATTTTTGTTTTCTTTATTGTCTCAGTAATAGTATGATGTAACTTACGTGTAAATAAATGTAATTCACTCTATAGAAAGTGTAATTGCAATTAAGTTGAAATGTAACTTGTCCAATACGGCGGATTGTAAGATATAAAACATTGACTTTAATGAAAACAAGAAGTCTTTTGTCCCACTGATTTTGGTGGTTTGCCTTCCGGGGGGTTAAAAAAACAAGAAGTCTAATTGCTTTGTTACTTTATGTAGATAGTGAATACGTTTTGTTTTTAATATAAAGGCCATAAAAATGTTTTTTTTGCCAAAAAAATCAATTTTTTCGTCAAAAATTTCAATTTATTTTTGCAAAAAAGTGATTTTTTTTTGTTTCGATAGCAGAGATTACCTGAAATAGTGAATATATAATTTTTAAACATTAAGGTCGTAAATATGTTTTTTAAAAATCACTTTATTTGCCAAAAAAGTCATGTTTTGCCAAAAAGATACTACCTTCGTCCCAAAAGACTTTGTCATTTCAAAAAATTTGAACCATGATTTTGATTATTAGTATAATATAATTAAAGTTCCAAATTTTATACTTTTATGAGAGTAATTTTAACAAAGAACATTTTCATATAACTTTTATATTGTAAATAGTTTCCAATAAAAAGATATAATTGGTCAAAGTTTTGAAATTGGCAAAGTTTTTTGGGACGGAGGTAGTATTTTTTTTTTTGCAAAACAATGATTCTTTTGTTTCAATAGTAGAATTTATGTTGTGATGTAATTCGTGTTATAGAAAATGTAACTCAAGTTGATGGAATATCTAACTTAGATGTGTGCAAAATGTAACGTGTTGAGGCATACCTAAATGTAACTAACGCATAGAAAGATGTAACATACGTATAATAGAGATGTAACTCGCGTATAAAAAGATGTAACCGCATTTACTATCAAATGTAAACTATGAAAACAAAGAGTCTAATTGATCAATTACTTTACGTAAATAGTGAATATGCTTTGTTTTTAATATTTAAGGCCATAAAAAATTGTTGTTAAAAAAAGTTATGTTTCGTTTCCATAAAAAATATTTTTTTTTTGCCAAAAAAACATTTTTTATGCAAAGAAATCATTTTTTTGTTTCAAGACTAGGAGTTTATTTTGTAATGTAACTCGTACTATGGAAAATGTAACTCACATTGATGGAAACTCTAACTTAGGTTTATGCAAAATGTAACCTATTGATACAAGTCTAAATGTAACTCGCGCGTAAAAAGATGCAACTCACTCATAAAACATTGTAACTCACCCACTAAAACAAGTAACTTCATATATTATCAAATGTAACTCTAGAAATTGTCTATAAACACAAGTCACACATGTGGAAATATAAATCACAAAAGTGTATAAAATATAAAATTATTTATTTTAAAGAAAAAATAATTTAATTTTTTATTGTAATTTCAGTTGAAGCAAAAAAAAAGTGTATGAATAAGAACTAAGAGAGAAAGAAAACATAATTAATTTTTTTGAAAGAATGAAAATTTGATCACAAAATTGTAATATATACATCAGTGTTCCTAAATTAAAAATATTATTTGGAAACATTATAACTTTTTATAATGAAAAAATTAAAAGTAAACAAAGAAATTAAAAAGAAAAAAGAAACGGTGGTGAAAGAGTGAAACGTTCGACTAAGAAGATTAAAAGTAAACAACGAAAAAAAGAAGAAACTAGGCTGGGAGTGAAGTGTGTTGCATGTTCAGTTTATATTATAGAAAAACGGTGCCGTATTTGGGATCGTCACACCATGCGCATGATGGGTCGATCCCACAGTATAATTTGTGCACTTCCTCCAAAGAATTCTTCAAGGGTTGGCTTTATTACGGAGTATATTATACAGATTTCAGAAGAACTTAAATAGTTGTTAATTGAGTGTCTCAAATTAACATATTTCATGAAGCATACATTAATACTTTTTTTAGTATGAGGTGGGCTAGGAACTAACATGAAATTTACTTTTCTTTTGTTTTATTTTGTTTTGTGTTATTTTGAATAATTTCTTAACTACATATCGCAAGTTAAGTTTTTATAAGTTTTAATTAGGTTCTTAGTTTAAATTGAATATCTAGAATTTAAATTTTATTATATTTTATATATTTTGGGAATTAAATAATATTTTTTTAAAGGAAACTAATACACGAGAAGTTGCCATATCAATCCTGAATGTACAAGTACATTAGTCAAATACATAAAAGGGAATTTTTCAGAAGCAAGCTAAAAGGAAAATTAATATCACTTTTTTCATGTTTCTAACTTTTCTTTCAAAAACAAACTAGATACGCGTTTCTTTTCACTAATAGACCTTGAACTTAATCCGTGTTAATTGGGAGAAACGGAAAAACGGTTGTAACAATAAGTACGTAAAGAAATTCAATAATGTGCACACTTTATACGGAGTACGATAGCACTTTCAAATTCAAAAAAGTAAAAAAAAAAATCAGACACTACAAATGCAGATATAACATGAAAATATTAAAAACATAAATAACTTAAGTACAATTAAAAATTCTGGAAATAAAGAGACCAATAAAATCGTAAAAGGTAGTCAAAATTAAATAATTGTAAAAATAATGAAAGTGGACTATGCAAATATATATTAATTAAAAGTATAAAATATGTGAAGTAAAATAAAAGAAAAAGAGAAAAGTGCAAGAAATCTTATACACTAAAAAATAAAATTCATAAATAAATATATAAAATAAGATGAAAATGCTTTGAAACTATTAAAGATATGAAGAAATAAAATGTTACTCCCTCCGTTGCATAGAAAGGTTCTCATCATTTTCTTTTTTTGGACGTCCCATACAGGGGTGGAACCAGAGGGGGGCGAGCCGGTGCTGGCGCCACCCCTTCGCCGGAGTTTTAGAGGTAGTAGTATTACTAATCGCAGGTCGAGATCTCTGCGGCCAGACCTGCGCCCCGTCTTCTTCTTCGGCCAGACCTGCGCCCCGGCTATGCTGAGATCCACCCCCGTCTTCTTCTTCGGCCAAACCAGAGGTGTGTGTGTTTTTTTTAATTAAATCATTTAGGCAAAACGACGTCGTTTGGTTAAGTGCACAGTAACGGCAGAAACGACGTCGTTCCTCTTGGAGTTGGAGTTGGGCACTTGGGCCATTCGCCCGTTCCAGTCGCCCGTTCTCGGATCTCTTCGCACTTCGCCCGTTCCAATCGCAGGTCGAGATCTCTGCGGCTAACTGCCTTCATGTCTTCGCGACTTCGCCAATCGCAAATTTGCAGGTGAGCAGGGCCAGCTCCAGCCTCCAGGTCGAGTTCCGCCCCTGAGCAGATCGCAGTCGCAGACGGTCCCAGACTCCCAGGCTTCGAGTCCTCTGTCCGCCAGGCCCAGGTCGAGTTCCGCCCCGCTGCAAATCTCAAGGTTTGATTTGAAATTATTTTGCAAGTTTATTTTGAGTGATGAGTGATGAGTCCTCTGTGCAATTATTTTGAGTCCTCTGTGCAATTATTTAATTTGAAATTGGACTGATGAGTGATGAATAGCTTTAAGGTTTGATTTTAATTTGCAAGTTTATTGATTCCTCAATACAATTGCTTTTTATAGTAATAATTGATTATAAGCTTGAATTGGTAAAACCCTAGACCGTATAAAATTGAAATTGAAAGTGCTTTAATTGTTTTAAATTTTAATTGATTATAAGTATTTAAGAATTTGAAATTGAAATCTTTTTTAACTTGTTAGGTTACTCATGCGATCATGTCTATTTTACAATTTGTAACACGAGAGGGTGGACCTTCTAGACGAGATAACGAAGAAAGTAGTAGAGAAAAACATCCTCGTGTCGAATTTGATCCAAATGATATTGTGTCTGATCCTGGATTACGTAAGCCAATATTCAAGTATAATTCTTTTATTAGAGACCAGGTTATGAGAGAATATTTAACAAGAGGTCCGTGTAGACCGATTGGCCATGTATATCCTAAGAGAGTGTATGGTAAAGAAAAGAGAAGTTTTCAACCTGCTTGGTTTGAGAAATATCCATGGTTGGAGTATAGCATTTCAAAAGATGCTGCTTATTGCTTGTGGTGTTATCTTTTCAAAGATTCAAATAAAGGAAACCGAGTTGGAGAAGTTGCATTTACCGAGAAAGGGGTAAATAATTGGAAAAAAGCACTAGATATATTCAATACTCATGTTGGTGTGGTGGGTAGTGCTCACAATAATGCTAGAGTGAAACTTGAAACTTTTCAAAATCAAAGACAAAGTATCTCACATTTGATAAGTGCACATGGACGGGAAATAGAAGCTGCGTATCGCATTCGTTTAACCGCAATTTTGGATGTGATACGATTTCTGTTGAAGCAAGGTCTAGCATTTCGTGGTCATGATGAGTCATCTAGTTCTTTAAATAAAGGTAATTTCCTTGAATTACTAGAATGGTATAGTCAAAGAAATGAAGAGGTTGCTAATACATTGAATGAGAATGCTCCCGGAAATAATCAAATGACATCTCCAAAAATTCAAAAAGAATTAACTAATGCTTGTGCATTTGAAGTCACACGAGTTATTCTTGAAGATATTGGAGATAATTTATTTACTCTTATGGTTGATGAATGTAGAGATGTTTCAGTTAAGGAGCAAATGGGAGTTGTTTTGAGATATGTGGATAAACGTGGATATGTGATTGAACGTTTCCTTGGCATTGTGCATGTTACTGATACTTCTGCTATGTCTTTGAAAAGTGCTGTTGATGAGTTGTTTTCAAAGCATAAATTGTCTTTATCAAAACTCAGAGGTCAAGGATATGATGGCGCTTCAAATATGAGAGGTGAGTGGGATAGTAAGTGGGAAAGGGAAAAATCAAGAAGTAAGTTTGAGAAGACCGGGGGATACTCGTTGGGGGTCACACTACATAACTATTGTGCGTTTGATGTCTATGTGGACTTCGGTTTTAAAAGCACTTGAAAATGTGCATGATGATGGAGCTACCGAGGAGCGGGGTATGGCTTCAAGTTTAATCAACAAGATGGAGAATTATGAATTTGTCTTCGTTATGCATTTAATGATGTATTTGTTTGGAATTACTAATGAGTTGTCTCTTGCCTTGCAACAAAAAGATCAAAATATTGTTTTGGCAATCAACTTGATTGGGACAATGAAAGTTAGATTGCAAGAATTCCGAGATAATGGGTGGGAGAGTCTTTTAGAAGAAACAAATACATTTTGTGAAAAAGTCAACATCCCGATCTTAAACATGGAAGAAGAAGTACTAATTCGTGGGCGTAGTAGACGAAGCAGAAACACAACCACAAATTTGATTCACTTTCGCGGCGGAATCTTTTGTGAGGTATATGACTATGTCTTTTGATTATTTTTTAATATTAGTATTGTATTCCATTATTTTGATTATATTATTTTGTACTATGTATTAGGTTGTTGACAAGATGATTGTGGAGATGAATAATCATTTTTCAGAGGCAAGTACTGAGTTACTTACTTGTATTGCATGTCTTGATCCAAGAAATTCTTTCTATCAATTTGACATTGATAAACTGATTCATATGGCTGAAATGTATGCGGAAGACTTTTCTTCTACCGATCGTTTTATGCTTAAGCAATAACTTGAGACATACATTCATGCCGTAAAGAGTCAAAGTCAATTTCATGCAATTGAAGATTTGGGAAGTCTTGCCAAACAAATGGTTGAAAGTGGCATGAACCTTGTGTTTTCTTTGGTGTATCATCTTATTGAGTTGGCGTTAGTTTTACCGGTTGCAACAGCTTCAGTTGAAAGAGTCTTTTCTGGCATGAAAATCATCAAGACTGATTTACGGAGTAGAATGGGAGATGAATGGATGAATGATAGTTTGGTGATCTACATGGAGAAGGAAATTTTTTCCAAGATTGAAAATGAAGCAATTTTGCAACGTTTTCAATGTATGCAAACACGCCGTACGCAATTGTCTAAATTGGCTTCTTCTTCTTCTAACATTTAATTGTAATGTAATGTACCATTCTCACAAATTTTATATTATGTAAACTTTAATAGCAATTTATATTTTTGTATTTGGTAATACTTTTAGCTACCCCTTTGTTTTCGTTCTGGTTCCGCCACTGGTCCCATATAAAGGACCATATTTCGATTTTAGGAAATAATAATTAACAATCTTAAATGAAAAATTAATCATTAAATACTATAAAAAATACATATATAACATCACAATTATCAACACTAATCTCATCATATTATATATCTATTAAAATTACTTTACAAAATATACCTGAATTACCTTATTTAATTATTGTCTAAATAGCTATGTTGTTTTATCATGAGAAACTTTCAACGGAATTGAAACACATGTCCCGCTTTGTTAAAAAATGAAACACGTGCGCCTATCTAAACACGGTCCAAACTACATGTACCTTTTCTTGTGTTACCCTTTTTTTTAACTATTTCTCCGTATAATTCTATTATTACTTTTTGTTTCCTACTATTTCTATGTGTTTCTTTTTGTTGATAACTATGAACTTTTTGTTTTTTATTGTTTCATTATGTTTCTAGTTGTTGTTTATATTTATAAATCTAAATTTATCATTTTAGATGTTTGTTTATAAATCTTTATAGATATTTTGATTTAAGGAAGTAGAAAAGGCAAACAGAAACTTAAATAAACAACAAAAACAAAATCAACAAAAACAAAAGCATGAGGATGCAACAAAACAAAACATGATGCAACAAAAAGCAACATAATGCAACAAGAAGCAACACACGGATGCAACAAAAGGAAACAAAAAGGAAAATATAAAGTATCACAACAAATATAAATTCAAACTATTATTTCAATGCTAATGTAAATAAACATGTACTAATTGTTCCAATTCCAAAAAAACATTGATCAAGTGTGTGTAATCAGCAAATCAACAACAAATTGTTCCAGATGTACATCAATAAGAAATACACACTTAAGAGTGATGTTTTTGCATATTAGTTTTTTATTGTTTAATTTCATCAGGTTTTATTGTTGATATTCACAGATCAAAATTTATCAATTTAAGTATTTATATATCAATACATGATTATTTTTATTTCAAGAAGTAGCAAAGATAAGTATGAACATAAATAAACAATTAAAATCAAATTCAATTATAAACATTAACCATATGTCATACAATGCAACAACAGGAAACACAATGCAACAACAAAAAACAAAACGCAACAAAAAGAAACAAATATAATGCAACAAAAAGCAACATAAACAATCTATCACAATAAATATATAATTGAGTTTATTAAGCCAATAATAAAGCATAACTTTTATTCCAAGCATTCCATACAAACACTAAACATAACTAAGGATGTGCTCCAGAAAGTACAATATGTCATCTCAATAAAATGTAATATAGTACTACGTAGTTAATAGGTCTAGACCGATTAAGTGACCTCCAACAAAGAAATTCATTAAGGACTCAAAGATCATGTTCTCTGCTTCATGCCGGACGGATTCAAAGAGAACATAAGAAAGATATTGCTCTACAAAGTTCAGGAAAATGTCAACAAGTATCTCAGCATTCTCAAGCCTCTTTGCAACCCTAGTTGCAGAAGTTTTAGCATATGCAAATGATGATATTCACATTAGCAATCTCTCTTTTGTGGCAAGCTGCTTTGGAGTTCCAATGGCTTCATTTGAATTACTTCACTGATAAGATCAACATAGTTTCAACATGTTGTGTTGATCAATCTTTCTTCCGTTGAGAACATGTTTCAACAGGTTCAAATCCATACAGCTTTACGTTTTGGTTATGCTCCCCAGGGAACTTGCCCACACCAGTAATAGTGCCTCATGTACCAATTCAAGAGACGAAAGAGTCAATTTTACCGTTTGATCCTTTCAAAATTTTGGCCCAATAGTTTCATAATGTATCTTTGGGTTGAATTGATGGGTTTTTCAAATTGTTAGAGAGTGCAGAGGATTAGGTGTTTTGACATGTATTTCTTTAACCTTTTGAATGGAACCTTTCATGCCTTGGCAGGATCAGTAAGAACCAATTCAGCCCCAAAACTGTAGAGAAGAGCTCTTCTTTCTAAGCTTTTGAATATTCACTAGCTCCATATGCACTTTTCTTGCTTCAGCAAGAAAATATATATAGCAAACACACAAACCATTTCTTATTCGAAAGTGGATGTACACTTTTGAATATTCAAGAGTCATGTACACAAACCATTTCTTATTGAATTCCTTCATTTAAAAGTGGTTATCACAATTCAAAGGCAAATTGATTTTGATAATTATGTGATTGAAAAACACAGAAGGTATTTATTCCTTCTGAATGAAGGCAAAATCATAGCAAATAGCAAATACTCCATAGCAGACAAAGAAAGATTTTTATTTATCACCCAAACTGATTAAATATCTGAATAAGGATGACCCAAATTACAGATACTAAAGCATTGTACATAAACATAGCAAAAGGTATTAAAATGAAAAACATTGTTTAATCCTAGACAAAATCAGAAGTTTGATGAAAATAAATAAATTTACTCTGAAAGTCCAGATGCAACACTACACCACTAGATGCCAAATCAGAAGCAAACTAACCAGAAATAGAAATGAAGAGTATTTGAACACAAACAATGAATGAAATTCAAGAGAACAGCTTAGAATAAACCGGTTATTATTTTAGAGCAAAAAGATTGGAATACTGCAGTAGTGTTCACATTTATAGGTGCGAAGAAATCCACACCTGGAGTTGCATCGATTTGAATTCCAAAACCATCTATGTTCGCTGCTCTCCAAAACTAACCCCCAGTCGCCGGAAGGTCGCAGCCCTAAACGGTAACGGACGAATCGCTGGATGCAAGGACGATTAAAAGTTGGACTGCTCACCCACGAAGTATCCCTGTCGCGATGTTGAGAGCTCCATCGCTGTCCCAGAATCTACTCCAACGGCGTGTCTCGGTTGTCTTCCAATCGCTTAGATCAGTTTCTCAAATGGAGCCACCGATTCGACGGAAATCGACGGTCAGGAGCTTCACTCCCAATCAAGCCGTGGATCTCATCTCTCTCAATGATACCCTAGATTATAAGAGAGGAAAACCAAATATTAGACAGAAGTATGGATAGACGCAGGAGTTAGCGGAACCTGTCTAAAACTGAAATAAAAAACCAAATTTCAAAATATAATAGTTAAAAATGAAAAGAGAAAATAAGAGGAACATAAATGATATTGGGGACATAAAATTTAACTATTCGGGTCATTTGCACTACATAAAAACCATATTATGTACCAAGTGATTGCTATCAAGTGATTGTGCTAGTCCAGTGGGTCTTTGTTGCTTGAAATCTCCATGCGTGCAACCTTGGTCACTGATTCAATTCTTTGTGGTGACTTTTGTTTTTATTTTTTTTAAAGCACATTTAAACACTTAACCGGATGACATGGAATTGTTGGGGTGATGTGGAATAACTGACGTGGCGATTGTACTGATATGGCAATGATAATGGCGTGACATGGTCAAAAATACTCTTATTTGGAAAACAAGTTTAAAAGTGGTAGATTCTATGGTACCCTTAAGATACCATATCTTTGTCCACATGGACCAATCAGAACGATGTAGTTGAATTATTTAAATCTAAATTAAAAATGATGTAATGATTTGAACCAATCAAGTGAGTGATAGGTACAGTACCCCATTTTTTAAATGGGTACCGGAGTTCTCAAGAATGGTGCGGAAGCGTGTGGAAGCCTCTAGAACATTCTCAAGAAGTGTGAAGTTCTCTAGGTCCTTCTAGAAGATTAGAGAAGTTTGTGGATACTTCTTGAAAGAATCTAGAAGTAGTAGTGCATAGAAAGTTCAAGAGAAGTTTTGAAGAGATTAGTATAAATAAGGTGAGACTCCACATTCATAAGTGTAAGAGGGCTTTGTGAGAGAGCGTACAGAGAGCCTTGTGAGAGCCTCCTCAAGTGATGAGAGAGAGCCTTGAGGAGAGCTCTTGAGTGATTGATTGCCTCCTTGAGAGAGGGGTGTGAGAATGAAGTAGTCTCATATACAAAGAGTGATGTGAGCTACCTCTTTTACTTGTAAAATCTCTTGTTGGGACAGGTCCGAAATAAACTTTACACTTCTATTTTTAATAACTTTTTAATATAAAGTTACCCTAATACTCTTACTTTATTACCTACTTTACAATCAATTTCTCTCTCCCCCTACACATAATCCACTTTTTGTAAGGGTGTGATGGGAAAGTCAAAAGCATTAATATTACTTTCATAAAATTCGTGAAGTCAAACTATGAAATTTATTTAGGATCGGAGGAAGTGTGTGTGTGTGTGTGTGTGTGTGTGTGTCTATATATATATATATATATATATATATATATATATATATATATATATATATATATATATAATTAGGTTCAAGTGAGAAAATGATCTT